CCACACAGCAGAAGAGGCGGGGTGCACTCAAACTTGGGTGGCCTCAGGACTTGCACCCTCAATCACCAGGGCTGTCTGTCCCAACCCAAATTCTGCACGAGAGGACAGTGGCCTCCCAGGGCAGGTGGGCTGGACTCTGTATGGCACACTTGTCCCTCCCCAGCTCCCAAAGCTCCCTGCTCTGGGCCAACTGGCTGAGAGTCTGAGCCAGAAGTTCTCCAAGGATTGGGATTTCCAAAGTCGCCAAGAAATAAGCTCTCCACAGAGTTCAGAGACCCGGGCCAGCAGGCACAGTGCACACCGGCCCCCTCCCCACTCCCGGGAGGCTGAGGCAGGAGAATGGCTTCAGCCCACGAGCCTGAGGCCAGCCTGGGCAACCCAGCGAGACCCCTCTCGAAAGAAAAAGTGCCCCCTCACTATCCCACCAGCTGCTCCTCCACCAAGAGGGGCATGGCCACAAGAAAAAGGGGATGTTGTATTGTCACCAGGAAGCCACCTCCTTGCTCCACCAAACCCTGTCTTCACAGTGGCCCAAGCTTCTCATTCACATCCCATCTCCAACCTGGGAGATGGCCAGTCATGCTGGACACAGGACCCCTGGGGCTGGCCTGGGCTTCAGGGGTGGGACGCCTGACCCTGCTGTCTGACCCTGGGGCTGCTGTTGCCACCCTCTGACCTGTCCTGCTCTGAAGCCACATGGCATCTGTGGCCGGCCTTCTCTTGCAAGGTGACTGGGGGCCGCCTTGCCATCTGCCAGGCCCGGAGGTCTTGGTAAGGGAGGGAGCGGGCAACTGTTCCTGTCCCCAGGCCTGCCGTGAGCCAGGAAGCTGGCAGCACACCACGCCACCAGCCACAGCTCGGTGTCCCCAGGCAGCTCCGCTCCACCAGCCCCAGGCCTTTTAAGCATCCATTAGAAACAAAAGGGCCGCAGCCCGGAGCCTCCCCTCGGCAGAGGAGGCCAGCCACACACCGTCCCCATCTCCAGACCATCACAACATCTGCCTCCCGGGGAAGTGCCAACCGTCTTGGGACTGTCACACCCACATCACAGTGCTCCTGAGGGGCCTGGCATCTCGCTCTGTTGGACCTGCCCTATTACCCCAATGTGGAGGAGGGTGACTGTTTTCAGATGAGGACACTGAGGGACAGAGAAGCAAAGTGACTTGCCTAGGGCCACACAGTCGGTCGGCGATGGACCTAGCACACTGACCCAGGTGGCCTGGCTCCACAGCAACCCCACCCCCATGATTTAAACGAAGGGCTTGGAACACCAGGCCACCAGCGGGAACCACCCCCTGGGAGGTCAAAACGGAGGTTCCTCACCTCTGCCTGGTGAGGAAAGGGGAGCTCAGAGAGGGGCCAGAGCTCAGCCAGGGACACAGCAAAGCCCTGGCCCCTAGGGTGGGTCCTTCTGGGTGTGCCCCAATGCCTGCCAGCCACAGGCAGGTAGATGACCTTGTCCCTCTTATCCAACTGGATCACCCAGTGGCACCCACCCTGAGTGCACTTCAGAAGGGACCGAGGGACTTGTGAAATGCAGATTTCTGCTGCCCTCGTCAGCAGTTCAGGACAGGGGCCCAGGAATCTCCATTTTATCAAGCAGTGTCATTAAGGAGGACGATCAGGTGGTCCTCTCCTGGAGAGCCCAGAGCTCACTCCCAAGAAGCATTTTCTGGGCCGGGCCCTGTGCAGGGCCAGAGGGAAGATCCAGTCCTGGGAATGGGCCTCGGGCTTTTAGAATCCTGGGCACTTACTGGAGCTGTGCTATCAGCAAGAGCACAGCTAGCCACTCCACAGCGATGTCATGCCATGCTGTCCCCAGGGCCACTCACAGACATCACTCCACAGATGGGGAAGTGGCCCAGTGGTCAAGGCTGGGACCAAATGCTATGACTCTTCGGCCAGGGACCCTCCCCTAGCCCAGAGCCTCTTCCTCACCTTGGCTCTGGTGGAAAAAAATCTTAGAAAGCATCAGGCCTGCTCATGTCAAGAGGATCGAATGATAGATCCCCATCGGCCAGAGGCTCAGACCCCTGGCCAGGCACATCTGTCCCCACGTGTCCCAGGGTAAGGAGGGGTCTCCTGGTCCTGACCCACACAGACCCTGAGGTGCTTAAGCCCTAGGCCTCTGCCCGGGGACCTGCCTGGCGACTCAGACCTGCCTCCATCCTCTCTGCAGGGCCAGCTCCCTGCCAGGAAGGTGGCTGGAGGCCCAGGCCAGAGGCCAGAGGGCGGCTGCAGCCTGAGCCGGTCCAGGGCTCTGAAGGGGCGGGTCCCCTCCCTCGACCATCTTTGTTCGCTCTATTAGGGGGCAATGGCGAGGGAGGGGGAAGCCGCGAAGCCGAGGGGCGGAGTGGCAGGGCGATCGGATGACAAGGCGGCCGGACAGGGGTCTCGACGCGGCCCCGGAGACCCACCCGCAGAGACCACGAGAAGCTCAGAGACAGAGAGAAGCGGCGGGGAGTCGGGGCCGAGC